TAACTCTATTACGTTGTAGTATCTGTTCAAACATACTTTCTCAACCTAATGAAGCACAAAAAGTCAACAACATCTCCACTAAGGCTCAATCTCATGACCTTCCACATAGAAAATGTCACTACGTACCATCTTAGCACAAGGTGCCTGGCTCTTATTTAAGTTAGTTAAGTGTAAAGACTAAACATCATATTTAAAAATAAAACGCTTAATGTTTTTAAGTATTTTCTACTAGTTGCATTTAAAATAATCAAATATTTTAATTATTGTTGTTGTGTATCTTAAATTCCTATTTCTTATTAATTACGTAATGAATATTTAAATATATAAATTTACAAATATTTTATGAATGTTATGATAATTGAATATTTAAATATATAAATTTACAAATTAATTGTATATTTTAAATAACATTTTATTTTATATTGTACTAAAAAATTAGGGCTAGGAATTTCCATCTCCGAAAAATTTCACGGGGACGAGGATCGGTAATTCCTCATTCTCGTCAAGGAATGGGTCAGGGTAAGGGATGATGGTACAAAATCCGGGGAGGGGACACGGACCATACTCCCCACTCCAGCCTATTGCCATGTGATACTAGTTGACATTATGTTGGAAAATTAACTATTTTTGGCATGTAAAATGACCATTTCAGGCTATTTTTTTTATGGGTTCCAATTCTGATTTATGTCAGGTTAAAGTGGAATTGGGTTCTCTTAAGTGAGAGGTTTAATTCAATATATTATAAAGTCAAAATAGATAATATAGGTGAATGAGAAATTAATTCTCAAAGTATATATATACATTTGAGTTAGAGAAATAAAATTGGAAAGACTTTGAACTTTGAAGGAACTTTTGTCCCACATTAAAAATTGGATGTGAGCTTTCACTAATATAAATACAATTTCCATTATAGAATAATTTGAATTGTACAATATAGAGGCCCTCTCGCTTATATTGTTACGATACTTGTCCTCCCACTTAATGGACTGCTGTGATTTTGCCTTTTTTATGAAAGGTATTTAAGTGATGGTACGTGTAAAACATTACTTCTAGCTATCAAGTAAACAATAATTATGATTCTTCAAATAAATACCATATTTGGTATCACATTATTAGGAATGCTATTTGAATTAAGAATGTATCATATATGAAGGGATTGAGTTTGATTGTATTTCATATTCCTATTAGGGTTTGTATTAGAATTTGTATGTCTCCAATATATACTGAACATGTTGAGACTAACGAGAACAAGAAGCAATAACAATGACAGAAAATAAAGAAGAAGATTTATATATGTACTTGGGTAATGTGATTACGTCCACGAGAGTAATATTATTTTTTTATTTATTAATTGTGATGGTAAGAAAACACCTAGGAATAAAATCAACGTATTTATTGACATCTCTACATCTGTACATGTACAAAAATACCTATGTACTGTACCGCATGCCCGACCCACTCCGCTTTGCTCCATTTCGTACATATGAGACATACTCATCAAATTTCCACATTAGTGGATATGTCCCTTAAGAGAAAAGAACATATCTCAGATATACCTCTGGGTCAAGGTAACCATGCTTATCTAGTGTAACACCTCCAAATTCTAAACATAGAAAACCAAACAAATACGGAAGCGAATTCAAACTTTAAAACTCAATGGGGTGTTATGCCACACTTAGGTTATTCTAAACCCAAATGCACAGGCTGCCGCAAAGGTCCTATCTACAATCCAAATACAAGGTTCACTAATCCAATTACAACTAATTATAAAACATTCTAAGTTAGGAAATTCACCGGGTACAAATTCTATGTCGCGCTCTCGACTAGCCTCAAATCCAGATCCTGAAAACATTTTAAAAGAATTAGCGAGAAATTCTAAGTAACCCCATCCACTCCAATACGTAAAACTACATAGATATACTTTTCATACTCAAAACAGGTTTTGCAACTTGGGAATAGTGCATATATACATCACTAGTGTGTGCCATTTCATCAATACCCAATGCGTGATTTTAATTAATTGACCAAAGGGTTCATGTTAAATTGTATATTGTATTTTTTTAATACACTCTAATATATTCATAGTATATGTTTGACAATTATGTCAATTTTGATTGGGATGGGGTTCGAATATAAGACATTCCTTATGAAAATCAATGAGTAAGTTAAGAATAATAAATAGTTAACGAAATATTCTGTGACACCCCGTAAATCCAAAATCTATTTAAGGATTAATATGATAATTAATCCTAGCTTAATTGATAATTTATTCCTAAAATCATAAAAATTCAATAGTTGGAGGACTAGAAATTGACTAGTCAACCCAAGTCAAAGGGTTGTACTCTATGCTTTATGAATTGTTATCTTGTCTCCTTACACTTCCCACTTTAGTAAGGGAAAAGAAGACTTTTCACCTTATGTTTGTGTCCCAAGCTAACCTAGAGTCATCCTTCATTTCATTTCCCTAACACCCTAAACACAAAAGTTCCTCCTTCTCTCTAGAAAATTGTTAGCTTCTTTTTCAAGCCAAGTTTGGGCAATCCAAGATTCTTCAAATTGGTCTCCAAGATTCAAACTTTCTTAACCTTGAGCACAAGGGGGGGGGGGGTAAGATCCTTGATCCCTTAGTGTTTTTAGTATCTTTTTAGGTGTCTTTTCTAAATGATAGAATCTTTGTTGTCTTTTGGTGTGTTCTTGAAGTTGAAGTTGAAGGAGAGCTTTAAGAGAAGCTTGTAAGGGTGTGAAAAGTGAAGGTTTAGGCTACAAGAGATAAACCATGCTTTACAAAATCTATTTTCTTACATATACGATGATTTCTTGACGTCTACTTGTGATTTTTGCTATGAAATGTGAGATTTGATGCATTGTCTTGTTAGAATGCATATCTAGAGCTTGTTATTAGGGTTCTTGTATGCCATTGCTTGGCTATTTCTTTGATTCAAGTCATGTTGTTGTATTTTGTGAGATTTTGGGTGTTTTGGACATGAATTTGGACTTGATGTTGAAAATCCCTGAAGGGATTATTTTTGGTATAGGGTTGTACCCGCGGGCGAAACGGCGGGTAGTGCACCACCCGCCGCCCCACCCACGGGGTACACCACTCGTGGGTGTTGGTACCCTCGGGTGGAACCACGGGTGGGGGTCCACCCGTGGCCCCACCCGCGGGGTACACAATGGCGGTCAGTCGGGGATTTGTTCCCCGTGATTCTTTTGACTCGGTAATTGATGTTTTGACTTCCCGATGTTGTTTTGTTGGGCTATTTGAGTGTCTTCTTGATGTTTCGTATGTCTAGAACGATATGTTAGGAATCCATGTAGGATTTGGTGTCTTGAATCATGCTAAGTGTTCAACCTTGTGATTCGTTGAACCATGATGAGTCTTGTATGTTCTTCGGAACTATGTTTGGTTTACCCGTTTGATAAGCATGCTAGTTTGATTTTGAATTGCTAGTGTGTGTGGTTTGTTCTTCCCTATTGTGGATGATAACTTGTGTTGATCATCGTTTGGAGTCGGATTGTAATCCTTCCTTTATTGAGTATGGTTTCATATCTTTGTTGTGATCCATTGATTGATTCCTATGATGAAACGTGTGTATTGGCTATACCTTCATTACACGATTAACGGTATGGGACATTAATCACCAAGGTACAAATGCGGTCCTCATGGTAGCCATTAATTGAGTTTGGTGGTTTGTTATCGTGAGTTTAGCTCACATGTTTGGCAGTTTTGTGATATGATATTGCAATGTACCCTCGTGTACTGAGCGTTCGGCGGTATTGTTTGGCGGTTGTTGGAGGGGGAACGACGGTTCCCGGAGGCAAAAAGTTGGACTTGGAAGTACAGGGTGGCACTCGGAGGTAAAGGTTGGAACTGTAATAAGGCCGGGGGTAGCCATAAGGTTCGAACAGGGCATGAGGTTCAAACTTGTGACATGAAGTGTCATTGTGGCATGTAGTGCCAATGTGTGGATGTCTATCCTTTTCTAATGAGCGTGTCGAGTGGTATCCTACTTTGTGATCAGTAGAATACACCTCGAGTTGTACTTGTTTATTGTTGTTGTCTTTGTCTCGATGTTTTCTGCTTTGTGATCAGTAGATTACATCTTAAGCTGAGTTGAGTTGTACTGTTGTTGTCCTTATCTTGATGTTGTCTTGGGATGTTGATTTCCCTTTTCTTTTGAGAGTGAAATAGAGTCTTTGCATTTGACTTCTCTCTTTACGGTTTTGAACTGATATATACTGTATTCCGTTTCGAAAATGATTTTGTATTATACTATCTGTATATGCTATTGAACGCGTATTGATGGGTTACCAGCAATATTCGCTGACCAGGCGTCGTCCCCTTTCTTTATGTGCTCTACAGGTCCTGCGTAGACATGGCGAGAGCGTTAGCCGTTGGTAGTTTAGCTCCCTTGAACAATGTAGTTAGTGTTTTGGCCTGTGTGCCACAGTTTTTGAACAAAATAGTTTGATGGTTTTAGACTTGCCTGTGCATTCACGTTGAAGTGAATGTGGCATAACACTCCTTGGTTTTCCCTGTTTTTATATTAGACTTCCGTTGTGCTTACGTTTTATGATATATGTTAGTTACCTTACGTTACGTATTTAAGTTTGAAAATGGCATGAAAATCGGGGGTGTTACAGTTGGTATCAAAGCCTAGGTTTGAGCCTAGGATGTTAGAGTCTAGAATTTTAAGAAGTTAAGTGTGGTTTGAGACACTAAGGGTGACCTTAAGTATCTAAGTGTTTAGGACTTATGACTTTTAGGACGAGTGGTGAGCTGTGTGTCGCCTATAATTTGTTCTGCTTGCTTGTTGCTTCTGTTTAGTTTCGTGTTCTTTTAGTTAGCCCCAGGTAAGGGTGCGATGTCATTTCTGCCTATCGTAACAGTGTTGTTGTTGTAGAAGCTTTGTCATGGCACCACCTAGTCAACGCGCACGCACGCCGGAGACACCAACCAATGAAAGCTAGCCCAGAATCTGCAACACCTCACACAGACCATGCAAACCCTCAATGAAGCTCTGCTGCACAACAATCATCCTGCTCCGCCACCACAGCCTGCCGGGCATAGAGATGTTGGACGCCTTGTATCAGGCCATAGACCACCGATGTTTGCCGGTGAGGAAGACCCCGTCGTGCTCGAGGAGTGCGTACGAACCTTCGACAAGATTTTCTCCGTCGTTGGGTGCCCCGAGGAACGTCGAGTGGAGTTAGCATCGTTCTACTTCAGTCATGAAGCTGACTTCTGGTGGGTGCACGAGGGACCCGCATGCGTTGAGGAGCCCGACATCGATTGGACAGCTTTGAAGGACCGGATGAGAGAGCGATTCTACCCGGCACATGTTCGAGCTACTATGTATGAGGAGTTTCTGCACCTCCAGCAGGGTTCATCGACGGTGGTGGAGTACCACAAGAGGTTTCTGGAGCTCGCTCGTTACGCTAGGATGTTTGTCCCCACCGAGCTCGCGAAAGTTGAGAAGTTCGTAGTCGGACTCAATTACGAGACACGTAAGGCTTTGACTGTGAGCAAGCCGAGGACTTTGAAGGAGGCTTACTTGAGTGCTGCGGACTTATATCGGGTACAACAGTTGCAGCGAGGATCGTATGAGCTAGCTAGGAAGAGGAACGAAAGCAGTGGATCTTCCAACTTCAAGAAGCCAATACCGGACTTCCGAACCAAGACCGCACCTTCACCACCTCAAGGATCAAACCGAGTAGGGTCCAGTGATCAAGCTAAGAGGTTTGCATGCAGAAATTGTGGAAAGCAGCATGTGGGAAAGGATTGCCAAGGAAATGCTTTGTGGTGCTTCAAGTGCGGAGAGAGAGGTCACAAGGCTGTCGTATGCCCTCAGCAAGTTAATCAAAGGGCGTTGCTGTAATACCCCTAAATTTTAAAACTTTTAATGTTTATGAAATAAAGGCAATTCTATCATTAAATCCCAAACAGAGCATAACTAAACATGATTGTTGGGGTGCTATGCCACATCTGAGCTGGAGAACTCAGATGCACAGGCTAAACTATCTAAACAACAGAAATCCTCAAATCAATGTCAAGTACATCATCATGGAACGCAGACCGATAAAAGAACTAAACTAGCTAAGCCCACAGGTCCAACTAGCGCGCTCCGGAGCAACTCATCCGTGCCTGAAAGCCAAATATATCTGTTCAGCGAATAATGCTGGTAACCCACTCCAACGCGTTAAATACAATATAGGTAGATGTATATAAGGAAAACCATTTTGAAGCCGGAATACATATATACTTATGAAACTCTAATTTAAAACCGAGAATATGTATGTATGTATTTTCTATCAAGCCCTAAACCTATCCAAACCTAAGCCCAACCTAGTAGGTTAACCCTATATATTGTGTGTATGTATGCACTATAGCTATCCCTTTTGATGAGGAAACCAAACCCCTCCCTCGCCTATTCTCCTCCTTCCGTCTTTCTGCTTCTTTTCGACCAAGCATCGGCAAGCTATGCCGAGAGGTTCTCCGGTGTCGTAAGTGGCATCTCAACCTCATCTCTTTCCTTCCCTTGTGGTTAGAAGAAGCAACATCAACAACGAAGATCCTTGGTAGCAGCTCTATGATGCGAAGCAGCGAGGGTGGTGGAGGTCTTGGCGAGTTGTGGGCTACGGCGACCTAAGCTTCCTCCGGTGTCTTCTCTGCTCTCCGGCGACCTAAGCTTCTCCGGTGCCTTCCCCCTGTTTCCGGCGATGCAAACAGTTGACAATGAAGAACTGAAGCAGCGGCAGTAGTGGAGGCTCGTGGCAGTGGTGGTACGTGGCAACGGCGGTATCGACGGAGCTTGGTAGCGGCGTCTCTCCTCCGTTCCCGGTGTGGAAGCTTCTCCGGCAATGTTTTGGCTTGGTGGTAGAGGGCGGAGCAGCCACGGGTGGAGGAGGTCACCGTGGTTCCACCCGCGGTGAAGCAGCCTGAAGAATGAAGAAGATGAGGGTGAGCCTCTGGTTTTCGTTGCTGTGGTTTCTTAGTTAGTTGTTATATTAGTTGTTGTGGATAAGTTATCAAAGGTTAAATTAGCTTAGTGGTTTAAAGCACGTTTAGTTTAATGAGTGGTTAAGGTTTGAGTTTCACCCCTGTTTATTAGTTTTAATTAATATTTCTATCTCCTCGGCTTGGTTATTAGCTTATAATGTTTGGGTTAAGTTATTAATTGAATGCCTAGCTTGGATGGTTAGACTTGTGGGTAATTTAGGGTTGAATTAGAGGTCCTAATCCCCTTATGAGCATAATTAGTTTTATTAGTGCTTTTGTTAATAGTTGAGATCCGGATTAATTCTCAGGTTCCCGTTTGGCTTATGAGTTGAACATAGCCTATGTTGGCATTGTTTTGGTTGGATAAGCGATTGAGCTAACCCATGCTCTACAAAATCTAATTTGCTTACCTATATGATGATTTCTTGGATTCTATATGTGATTTTGCAATGAAATGTGAGTGTTGATGCATTGTCTTGTGAAAATGCATATCTAGAGCTTGTTATTAGGGTTCTTGTATGCCATTGCTTGGCTATTCCTTTGATTCAAGTCATTTTGTTGTATGTGGTGAGATTTGGCATGTTTTGGACTTGAATTTGAGCTTGGAGTTGAAAATCCCCGAAGGGATTTATGTGTGGCTTCGTGTTCCCCGCGGGCAGGAGCATGGGTGGGGCACTACCCGTGTCCCTACCGGTGATGAAAAATGTGGCGCTGGGTATGTACCCCGCGGGCAAGAGCACGTGTAGGGCACTACCCGTGGTCCCACCCGCGGGGAACATCATGGTTGATGTTCGGGATTTGTTCCCCGTGATTCTTTTGACTCGATATTTGGTCTTTTGACTTCCCGACGTTCTTTTTTGGAACTATTTGAGTGTCTTCTTGATGTTTCCTATGTCTAGAACTATATGGTAGGAATCCATGTAGGTTTTGGTGTCTTGAATCGTGCTAAGTGTTCAACATTGTGATTCGTTGAACTGTGATGAGTCTTGTGTGTTCTTCGGAACTATGTTTGGTTTAATCGTTTGATAAGAATGCTAGTTCGGTGTTTAAATGCTAGCGTGGGTGTTGTTTGTCCTTTCCTATTGTTGATTATGACATGTGTTAATCATCGTTGTTGTTAGACTGTGATCCATTCCTTGATCGAGTATGGTTTCATATCTTCGTTGTGATCCGTTGATTGATTCCTATTGTGGTGGTGTGTGTGGTTGTACCTGGATTGCACGATTAATGGTATGGGACATTAGTCACCAAGGTACGACAGTGGTCTTCGTGGTGGCCATGATGTGATTATGGAGTTTGTGACCTGTGTGTCGGGTTCACGTATTTCTTGGGAGGCATGTGTTGCCATGTGCGTGATCGGTTCCCTCGTGTACTATGAAATTGGTGGGTTTGTTGGTGGTCGTTGGCGGATGGGGACAACGGTCTTGAGAGGGAAAAGGTTGGACTTGGTGTACAGGGGTCCTGGAGGTAATGGTTGGAACTAGACATAAGCTTGGGGGTAGCCATAAGGTTGGAACCGGGCATAAGGAAGGCATATCATTTCGTAATGGGTGATGTCACGAAGGCATGTGTTGTCATTGTTGTGTATTTCTTTATTTGTGACTTGTGTTGTCACAAAGGCATGTGTTGCCACGGCATAAGTTGCCAATGTGTGTGTTCTCATTCTCTTGAATTATACATGTCGGTTGTCATTCTACTAAGTGACGGTAGAATACTGATAGGCATATTTGACACTCATTTTTTAGGTACATCTTTATAATAATTTTGCATTAATTATTTAATATTATCTAATAATTACTTCTTTTTATATATAATATATAATATATAATATATAATATATTTATACATATAATTTATAATTAGTTCATGTTATGTACTAGTATATACATATATATGCATGATATATTTATATATTATTTAAATAAATTTCCAACTTAAATCTACTTAGCATGCATGCAGGTAATATATTAAAACTTTACTTTATATTTGTTTTGTTTCTCTTCCTTGCAGCACCCTTGGCGCAGCAACATTAGCGAGAAAAATAAATTCTCAAAACAACATAAAGAACGAGCGCAACGGAACTTCATCAGCGCAAAAATAGAAATTCAAAGGTAGAAAAAAGATTAATCCTATTTTGAGGATACTATAAATATATGATAGAGTAGTATTAAAAAAATGTTCATTCTTCCCCTCTCGATTATTCTGTAAAGCTGTTATCAATGTCCATTCATTGCTAATTTCTTTAGCTTGGTTTAGTGAATTGAAGCCCCGGAGTTCATAACGCCGTAAGGTTATTTATTTAACTTTATTATATATATGTTTTTATGCATTTTGAGTATTAAATATTCTTCTAAGTTATTTGAATAGTTGTATCATTTAATTGCTAGGGAGGCCTACTAGTTATTTACTTGATATAATTATTTGCTATATTAGATAATGTTGTGCTACAAATTATTCTAATATTCAGTAGCAACTGGGTTAATTATTGACGGCTTAGTGATAATTGGACTCGGGTAGAATATTTTCCTAAATTAAATGCAACCGCTTGTGCTTGTGTTATTTAGTTTGTCGGTTTTCCTAGTTCCTATTGCTGCTATTAAATTAAATCTATAGCGCTTGTCTTAGGTTATTTAGTAGTTAGGGGTAATTAAACCGCGTGTGCTTTAGTTACCTACAACTAAGGGAAAACAAAAATGAAATAATTTCACGACAAATATTCAATTGCATATTAATTGCTTTATGAATCAATGATCAGTGTTATATTCCGGTGGTGGATCTTTACTAACCAAGGTTTTCTATTCTGAGTGTTTTCAATATATTGTTTTCATTGCTTTATTCGTTTATTTTCTTTGATTATCACCTTCATACCAATACCCCCTTTACTTTAATTTGAACACATACATTAAACTAGTCACTCCTCGTGGGATCGATCCTTACTCCCGCTACTACGTTTGTAAGGTTTTAATTTGGGAGCCTACGACAGCTCACCAAATTTTGGCGCCGTTGCCGGGGAGATTTTCTAGCTTATTTTGTGTTTATTTATTTATTTTGTTATTTGTTTATTTTTTTTCATTTGTCCCAACAAAAATTTTAAAATATCCTTTCTTTCGTTACTTTTACATAATTGCTGCACTATCTTTAACGGTTTATGCCTATAACTCGATCTGCTAACAAAGAAGTCTTGCCATACAATCCAGAAAATGAAAGAACTGTACGCAGGTGGAAGAAACAAGCTTTGAGGAAATTGGAGTTTAGTTATCTGGCTACCGATTCTACCAATTCTAATTTGGAAGAGGAACCCATGGCTCAAAATCGGACTTTAAAAGAGCTTGGAGCACCAAATTTAGATCACCAACCTTTATGCATCACTTTCCCTGCTCTGGATGCTAATGTCCAATTTGAATTAAAATCTGGATTAATTCATCTTTTGCCTTCTTTTCATGGACTTGCAGGTGAAGACCCTCACAAGCACTTGAAGGAATTCCATGTGGTGTGTTCAAGTATGAAACCCACAGGGGTTACTGAAGAACAAATAAAGTTGAGAGCCTTCCCATTTTCTTTGAAAGATTCAACGAAGGATTGGCTATATTATTTACCTTCCGGAAGCATCACCACATGGAATAACTTAAAGACACTATTCCTTGAAAAATATTTCCCAGCTTCAAGGGCGGCCAACATTAGAAAGGAAATCTGTGGTATAAGGCAAAACAATGGAGAGTCATTATATGAATACTGGGAGCGTTTCAAAATGCTTTGTGTAAGCTGCCCACACCATCAAATTTGTGAGCAATTACTCATTTAGTACTTTTATGAAGGACTTTTTCCAATGGATAGAAGCATGATTGATGCTGCAAGCGGTGGTGCTTTAGTTGACAAGAC